ATGCTCTGTAAACCTTCACTCAATTCACAATGAAAATATTTTTATTGTGTGTGTGTTTTTTTTAAATCTTAAGATGCACAATACTACTACAACAAGCATGGGATCCTCATGTATCAGATTCAACTGAAGAGCAGCTGGTGGTGGCCCTGGTCTAGAATGTCTTAGCTGAGAGGTAATTCAGAGTCACCAGGAGGGAGGTCCTGGTCTCACCAGGATGGTAGTGATGGTGGCTATGTGCCAAGGAGTCAGTTCTGACTCACAGCAGTCCTCTATGAGTTTTCCGAGGCTGTAAATCTTTATGGGAGCAGAGAGCCTCATGTTTCTCCTGTGGAACAGCTGGTAGTTTCGACCTGCTGAACTTGATGTTAGCAGACCAACTCATAACCACTATGATAACCAGAACTGCAGCCAGGTGCATGCAAGAGACAGACAAGAGCTACCTGAGTGAAGTCCAGCCACTGGGAAAACATCTTGAATGAGAGACAGAAAGTGGTCAGTGTTGTCATTAGACTGGAAAATCAGGACACCCTAAGCTATCCCCTCAGCTAAGGACCATGAGCAACAGTCTCAGGACCCTGATTGGGAGCACAGGCACAATGAATCTCTACCTGTAAATGAGATGGGAGAACCTGGTCCAGGTATACAACTCCTGCAGGGCTGGGGTGCACTCGGGAGACACACCTGAGCTTGATGGGGCAGCACAGGGAGAGGTATGGATCCCAGGTCTGTTATTTCCTGAGGGCAGGTGCTGAGCCTCCTTTTCAGTCTTAGGACATAATCCCCTCACTGTCCAGCAGGGGTCCAAGGGAAGCTGACTCTGACCTAGACATTTCCAGAGACCCTGACCTTCCCTCCCCCTTGTCTCTCCTCCTACCTCCAGGACAACACCATCTTCAGATGTCCCCACAGGACTTCACTTCATGTTCATGTCCAGGTCCAGTCTCAGGTTGGTATCTAAGGACAGATTATCTAATAGGTAGGTAAGCATAGTGCTTCCTTGCTTACCAGATCTTCTGTAGGGAACAATGTCACATGCTTTTCACTACATCCAAAATTCTGCTTCTAGGTCTGGCTGGCACCTGTCTTTCTCCCAACCCCAGAGCACCTTCCTACTGAATCAAAGCTTCTTTTCAAATTTACGTTCTCTGACAAGGACATGGTTCCCAGAAAGAAAGATAAATATGAGCTTACTTGCATTTATTAATCTGTAGAGAACAATTGTACTTCCTGATTAATCTATAGTTTCCTTGTCCTGTGTAAATAGTTGTCACTGACTACATTCGGGTTTCAGAAAGTACAAGCAGATTCTATGAAGATTTATTCTTGTGACTTGGTGATAGTAAAGGAAAGGATTGCATTTCATAGATAAGAAACTCTTATTTTTAATTTCACAGGTATACTTGTGCTAAATAGAACAAGAGGAATACGAATATTAACTATATTTGACAGTAAGTGCAATTGGTCACTACGGATGTGTAAGTAAGCCCACACTTACCTTGTGTATAAGGAACTCCACACCTGTGTAAGGTGGATCATGGAGTCCTCTTGTCCCTGGATGAGAATATCCATTGACTCCTCTCCACAAATGACATGTTATTGTTGTTATGTGCCATGGAGTCGATCCCTACTCATAATGACCCTGTACAGGGTTTCCGAGGCTGTAAATCTTTATGGGAGCAGAAAGCCTCATCTTTCGCCTGTGGAACAGCTGGTAGTTTCGAACTGCTGACCTTGCGGTTCCCAGGCCGATTCATAATCACTAGAACCTCCCAATTTCACTGTCACAGACCTGGTCATTGGGCTCAGTTCAGGGACAGATCACTATCTGCAGCAGGCGCTGTCACAGCCCCGGTGAGTGGGCTCAGTTCAGGAACTGTCACTTTACTAATTGGGGTTACTGATAATCTATTCACTAGCATCAGTTCTGGGCAAAAACCAAACAATGAGGGACCACCCAAAGAGCTCCCACATGCTCATAACTGGGTTTTTCCTCAGCATGATTTTCTGACATAAACATTGAAGTAAAAAAAAGAGAGAGAAGTAAAATATCTTCAGGTTTCCCTCACCTACTATTGTAAAATAGACACTTGAATGGGATAGAAAGGAATGTCAGGAAACAAGTAACAGAAAGCTTGTAAGCCCGTCTTCAGCCTATGAGTGATTAGGATACCTAAAAGGGGTCCTAGAACTTGACCAGTAAAATAGGCTTCTTGAGGAGCTTTTGTAGTGTATAGGACTTTAGGTGGAATACTGAGACCCATATGGAACCTTCTGTCGTGGGTCATTCTTACTAGAAAGGACAAGAAGACCAGCCTGGAGCAGCTAGAGAAACAGAAGATATATCTTCAAAGAAAGATCATCAGAAAAACCCCAAACAAAAATGGCAGTATGAACAAGCAAGTTGTTCTCTGGGAAGCCATCAAGGCAAGCAATCAAGTCCCTTCAGAACAATCCTCCCTCTAAGACCAAAATTCAAAGGAAACACATGAGCAGGCATCTAAGCTTGCTGGTGACCATGTTGGTCTACTGGTGAGTGGAAGAAGGGGATGGGCAGAAATGAAGAAATGGGCTGAATTCAACCATGTTCCATACATTGCCGTTGACCTGGAGATGAGAGAGAGAAGAGGAGGCCTGGTTGGTCCGAAGAGTGGTGAGACCTGGGAACTCCTGAGCCCATGGACAAGGACATAGCCATGAGGGCTAAAGCTGAGAGTGAAGCATCAGCTGATATGAAGTGAGGGGAGATGCACAAGAATGCCCAATCTTGCAGACAGTACCCATTTGATCTAGCCTCAATGGCTTGATAATCAGAACTTGACTAAAAGAAGATTAAAAAACAACAATTTTTTTGGTAAAGAAAATGTGTGTAAACTGCTACAATTTGATGATCTTGAACTATACTTATGGATGTAGTAGCTCAAAATACCAACTGAGAGGGAAGGAGTCTTCACATCAAGTATCAATTCTATCCCCTATGCATACAGGTTAGATAGGGACATGCAATTTAGACAATGGCTACCTAAAATAAGGGGCGATAAAGGGACAGAGTATTTGGCTTACAAGTTTTCAAGAGGGAGTTTAGTTTTTAAGAGTGTGTGTGTGGGGGAAGATAGAGTTCCTACTGAATAGCTTTCATCTTGTCTAGATGGGTCTGGTGAAAAGATGGGGATAAGAATTTTATGATTCAATAATTGCTATCATGACTAATTGTGACTGTCACAAATATAAAGGTAGAAATTTGTGGGGTTTTTTTTTTTTAAAAAACAATAATGGGGAGTAGTTAATCTTACAGTACAGAAATAGAGGATCCAAGGACCATCAAGGGAGAAGAGCACAAGTGGAATGCGGGACCCTATCCAGAGAAGCAGTGACATCAGAAATGGAGGCAGAGATGGGGACATGGAGAGAGGGAACCACTGAACTCATGGAAAGAGAGGGACTGGGTGCTGGCGGCAAGGAGATAGAATTGTAGAATGTGCCCTTTGGTTGATTAAATTATTATATATACCTGAGTGTTTCTGTGTACACCCCCCCCCCCCGCCAAAACAACAACAAAAACAAAACCCAGAGGGAATGGAAGCAAATACTGTCCAATGAGGATGTACGGAGGAGATTGTAATCATTGCAATGAAATGATAGTGTGAAGCCAATGTTCTTCCATGTAAACTATCACTCAGTTCACAATTAAAAAATTAAAAATTTGGCAAATCTAGTAAACTTTTAGAAAGATGCAGTGAGGGTACTTTATGCTATGTAATTACCCCTCACTCCCATGGGATCTGGGAAGCACATGATTATTTCTGTTGCAAAGTGGATATGTTTCTATATTTACATGGGTGGAGAAAGACAAAATAATCTCATGTCAGTTCAGGTTAGTTTTTGGAGCAATCTCACATGAGAGCAGAGTTACAAGGAAACTGTTCCCAAAAATGTTTGCATTGAAAAATTGTGGATAAAGATTTTTTTTATTATTTTCAAAAAAATAATAACTTCAAAAAGAAAACTCTGAAGGAACAAAATCAGCGTCATGGAGGAGGATGTCAAGGAAGGAACTAAACATCATGTGGAGCGAGACTGGAATAGACACCACTGCTACCCAAGAGTATTGTGGATTGAGTAAGCAAATTCCTCATTTGTCATGATTCCCAACACTCCTAATAGCATAAAGCTGCATTCTAGTGAACTGCAGAGGTGAGGACAAGACTGCATGTAGCTTCAGAGAGTAGAATGATGGAGGCAGAGAAAGTCCTAAGGAATCAGCTTATATCAGCGCCTCAGAGCCAGAGCCCAGAGAGGTGAGGAGAGTGCTCTCTTGCTCAAATCAAAATCAAAACGAATCAACTGTCATTGTGTCAATTGTGAGAGTGCTCAAAATGTGACCCACTGAGCCAGCAGGACTCCTCAACATGTGGCCACACCCTGACAATGGGACTGTGCCCCCAGTCCTTGTTGCTAGGCCTGAGTTTTCAAACCTGCATACAGTTCAAAGAAAACTGTGGGAAGCTCCTTGTTGTTAAGTGTCATCCAATCAGTTCTGACTCATAGTGACCCTGTATAGGGTTTCCAAGGAGCAGCTGGTGAGTTTCAACCTCCAAACTTGCGGTTCAAACAGCTTTTGCAATCTGGCGCATTAACCCACACCACCATACCAGGACTCTTGGATGGCCCCTTAGGGCTGGTTTATTAGAGTCCCCAGAGGGGGAGTAAATTTGCATAAATGTCAAACAACCCTGGCTCCAAGGGGCCTGAGAAGGAATAAGAGGGTCAGGGCCCCCACCCAACTGTGAAATCAGGAGACTGAGCTCAGTGTCTCCACCATGACCTGGACCCTTCTGCTTCCCCTCCTCACTCTCTGCACAGGTGCTCCTGGCTTCCCCTGACCTCAGGCTCAGCTCACCAGCCCTGCTTCACACCCTGAGCTCAGCCCAGTCATGGCATCAGGGGTACCTCCTGGGAAGGATCCCTCAGTCTCACACCCTCCTCTCTCTCCTCTCTTGCAGGCTCTGTGGTCTCCTATGAGCTGACTCAACCACCCTCAGTGTCAGTGACTCTGGGACAGACGGTCACCCTCAGCTGCTCTGGAGAACTCCTCCCAAAGAAATATGCTTACTGGTACCAGCAGAAGCCAGGCCAGGCCCCTGTGTGTGTCATCTATAAAGACAGTGAACGGCCCTCAGGAATCCCTGACCGATTCTCTGGCTCCAGTTCAGGAACAACAGCCACTCTGACCATCAGCAACACCCAAGCTGATGATGAGGCCGATTATTACTGTCTGTCTCTTGACAGCAGTGATAATACTCACAGTGACACAAGCAGATGGGGAAGGAGACACAAACTCTGATCTCCTGTCTGTGTCGCCTGCTTTGTCTGAGTCCCAGGAGGACTGAAGACATGGTCCAGTTCCCTATACCAGAGATCCCCAGGACATTAGCCCTCCTGCCCTCTATGAAGGTTCTGCAGAGAGTGTTTGACCAGAGACCAGATTTGTACCCCAGACAGATGTGGCCAATAAGTACACTTCAAAACAAACAGATGAATTCAAGGCCATGCAGTCAATTCCAAGACTCTAAATCTTTCCAGGAGTAAATAAACTCATCTTTTTCCCAAAGAGTGATCGGTGAGTTTGAACAGCCGACATGGCAGTCAGCAGTGCAACACCTAACCCACGGTGTCTCCAGGGCTCCTTAAGTATATTACATCTTTGAGAACCTAGCATCCTCAGATCTTGGGCAGGCATATTTATTTAAAATTTTTTATGCACCAAGTCATCACCTCAGCCTTCAGTACATCAGAAGTGGGTTTGTGGCTAGAAGAGCCAGGCTGTCCTGCTCTTGTCTAGGCTGTGGGTGAGTTGAGGGAAAGTGTTCATGGTCCCTGGATTTCTACATGTGTGGTTCACCTCTCTGGAGTGAGTCTAGAACCCTAAGTCCCGGGAGTAAGACCTCAACTCCCCGGACTCTGATTTCTGACATTCTAAACACAGGAATCCATTCTGATCAAGAGTTTGAACTCTTAGCCCAGTGAACATGTCTTCCAGAAATGAAGGTACAATACAATGTGTTCCAGACTTACAAAAACCTAGAAAAAAACCAAACCCACTGCCATCAAGTCAATTATGACACCTAGTGACCCTGTTATTGTGGTTGTTAAAGGTTATCAAGTCAGTTCCTACTCATACTGACCCTGTATAGCATTTCCAAAGTTGTACATCTTTATGGGAGCAGAGAGCATCATCTTTCTCCCACGGAAGACCTGGTGGGTTCTATTAACTGACACTGTGGCTCACACTCTGGTGCTTATCATACAGGACCACCATGATCCTAGGACAGAATAAAATAGCTGCTGTGAGTGTCTGAGACTGTAAATCTTTACAGGAGCAGATAGCTTCATCTTTCTCCATAGCAGTGCCTGGTGGTTTGAACTGCTGACTTTGCAGTCAGCAGCCCAACACTTAAATCACAGTACAGGATGGAAACTGAATTTCCTGGTCCAGAGCCTTATCTTATGCCCGGAGAGTGACTGGTAGGTTTGAACTTCAGACCCGGCAGTCAGCTGTGGAACACCTAACCCACTGCACCACCATGGCTACTTAAACACATTTTGAGGTAGACTGAAAAAGAGAGTTTATTAGGAGGTCCTGTTGTGGCTCTGTAGGGTAATCATGGACTGCTAACCCCAAGGTTGGTGGTTCAAACCTTCCAGTTGCTCCTTGAAAATCATATACACAGTCACTATAAATCAGAACTTACTAAACGGCACTTAACAACAGCAACAACAAAGAATCCAATAGATTCGATGCCTGATAGAGTGCAGTGTTTAAATTTGTTCTTAAATACCTGTCTATACATTCCATTCCCAAAGACAGGGATAGTTTGATCTAAAAGAGGAACAAAGAAAGCTCGCTTATTAAAGCTCTAAGTTTAATTCAAACAAGTTCCTATTGCAGTTGTAAGTTTTTTCTTTAGAACATGGGAAAAGATGCCAGCTCCAGGTGAATCCAGTTCTTCAAGGCTGACCTCTTTAGGAATCTAGCATCCTCAGTTCCTGGCCCGATACATTTATTTCAGTAATATTTTATGCACAAAGTCATAAATTGAGCCGTCAGTACATCAGGCATGTGCTGAGGCGATTTGAATGTAGAAAACGGCTTCACTTCTGTTGCTTGACACAGCTCCAACAGATAGAAAGATTATCAAGCAAGGCAGATAGCGCTCAGAAGTCGCTTTCTATCTTCTCTTTAGGATAACTTTGAATTTACTTGTAAAAAAATATAATATGGCCATATTCACAGCCTTTCCCTATGAGTTCTACAAACCTTAGGAAAAACTGGCTTAGCAACAATTGTTTTCAGCTTCTGTGGATTGAAAACAAAGGAAATTGCATGTGCCACTCCTGTTCACAGAAAACCTAAGTACAAAGTAACTGCATTTATTAGATCACAAAAGTAGATAACAAACTAAAGTGAAACTGACTGACCCCTATAGACCTCACCACAATTAATTACTAGCTAGAATTTACAAACCCCACTATGACATACAGGCACCTATGTGAATAGGCAGATAATAGTGAATATAAGTGAAAGGTGGTCAAAACTTAATAATCTACATTTCCTGCAGCAATTAGCCAGGTTGGGCCTTATGCCTCATAGTTTTAAAAAGAGGAAACATAGGAACATTGTGGTTAAGCAAAAACAAAATAATTAAGTAGATGTTAGTAATACTTTTACCATGAAAATAATAGTGTAGTATATAGGATAGAAGTTTGATAATCACCTAGTAGAAATAATGAAATAGTGCAGGCATTGATGATTAATAGAAACTTATATTACTAAGAGGATGTAATCAAGGGTCTGATAAGTGGAAATGATTTGTGTAAGGTTTAACTTGATCTTTTAGTGGGAATAAGAAGAAGCAATTTATCACTTATGTAGGAGAGGAGATGATGTCAAAAAGAAAGTGTTCAGTGGTTGAAAAATGAACAGGATATGGAAAGGTCAGTTTGGACATCACAGAAATATTTTTGTTAAGGTTGTATAATCACAGAGTAAAAGGAAGCTGTGATTGAAACTGTGTAATAATTCATGGAAAAATCAAAGTATCAAATCATTATGTACTGTGTAATTTTAAGTATAAAAAATAAAGACTGCTGAGCTGGGCCAGAGAGAAGAAGAGATAAGAACAAGCAGACAGAGAAAGAGAGCCCGCTCCAGCCAACTAATCAGAGGCTTTCGATTGCTTTCATTTTCGCCGACTTCGTGTTTCCTCTCGTGTCCCTCGACCGTAAGCTGGACTCCCACAGGCATGTGCTTGCGGCTAGAAGGGCCAGGCTGTCCTGCTCTTGTCTAGGCTGTGGGTAAGTTGAGAGAAAGTGCTCAAGGTCCCTGGTTTCTATATGTGTGCTGATAGAACACTCTGGTTCACATCTCGGGGATTAAGTCCAGGACCCTAAGACCTGGGGATAAAACCTCAAAGCTCTAGCATTTTAAACAGAGGAATCCACTTTAATAGATAGTTTGATCTCTTTGCCCAGTGAATATTTATTCCATAAATTAAGGCACAATTCAATGTTTTCCAGATATACATAAATCTAGAAACAAACCAAACCTACTGCCATCAAGTCAATTATGACTCCCAGTGACCCTGTTATTGTGGTTCTTAAAGGTTATCAAGTAAGTTCCTACTCATAACAGCTTTGTATAGGGTTTCCAAGGCTGTAAATCCTTGTTGGAGCAGAAAGCCTCATCTTTCTCTTATGGAGCAGCTGGTGGGTTTGATTCACTGCCATTGTGGCTTGCAATCCAGTGCTTATTGTACAGAGCCACCATGGGAAATTATGACCTGAGGACTTTTAGGAGAGCCCAGAACACACAGATTTATGATGTCAGTCAAGGTAGTTTTTGAAACTTCTTCCAAGATCAGATACAATATGGTTTCTGAGACTCCAAATTTTTATTAGGGAAGACAGCCTCATCTTTCTCCTATGGAGGGACTGGTGGATTTGAACAACTGACCTTGTACTTATCAGCCCAACACTTAACCCACTATACCACCAGGGCTCCTTACAAACAACACAGATCTTAAAAAGGAGAAAGAATGAAAGTTTGGTCAATGCCAACTGATAATTCCATGGGAATAGGTGACATCAAAGAGAGGCAAACAGACCACACGTGAAACGAAACTAGATTATATGATCAGTCTGCCATAGGTTATTGTCAATTCATCTAGCAAATTATTGTATCTGCAATGATTCACAAAATCCTAAAGACACAGTAAGACAGGGAGCGTTGGGGTTTCTTGGAAAGAGTAACTAGGGAAGTAAGGACTTTGTCTCAAGGACAGGAGGTTTCCACTATACTCCCAGTGCTTGGACCAGAGCCTGGGACATACACAGTTGGTTCTGAGTAAATATTCATTGAGTGACTCTCAGCGTGCATGATTTCTAAGAACTGTTGTCCCATAGAAGTCCCCTGAGCAGGTGCAATGGGCTCTTCTGAACCCTCATGCACCTCACCCTCAACATCTGCCACTTACTGTTCCAAGCCTCCATGAGACATGGAGCCTAAGGGGACTCTTGAATAGTAGTTGAGAGATTTCAGTTTCTATTCTTACAATTCCTAGATCTGGACTTCTTTCTCAGTACCGTTGATTTTTATCATATACTACCTCTTCTGATGGATGAACATGGACAATTTCTTTATTTATAAAGTGTATCTGTGAATGCCTTCAATATTCTTTTGATGCTTTCTGTATTATTCAAAAATTTTTAAGGTTTTTATTGTGGATTGAGTGAAAGTTTACAGGGCAGATCATGAGTTTTACATTCAACAAATCATATACCTTATTTCATAATAATGATTATAATCCCCTCCATGTATCATCAGTTAACAATATTTCTCTCTATTCACTTTAGTTTTGTTTTTTTTTGTTGTTGTTGTTTTTTTAAATAACAACACTCAGGCATATATAAAATTTACATCTCCAAAGGGCACATCCTGCAAGTCGGCCTCCTGGCCACCAGCTCTTAGTTCCTCCCTTCCCATGAATCAAGAGACCTCAAATCTCCCCATCTCCATGACCCATCTCTGCTTCCATCTCTGGCTTCTCCGTTTCTCTGGATAATGTACCTCATTCTGCTTGTGCTCATCTCCATTGATGGTCCTAGGGTCCTCTGTTTCTTGACTGTAAGATTAACCACTCCCCTGTTTTTGTTACAAAACTTCTAACTTTACAATTGTGATAGTCACGATTAGTAGTGATAACAATTATTTATC